TCCGGGCATTTAGGTTGGTTCCACATCTTGGCTATTGTAAATAATGCTGCGATGAACATAGGGGTGCATGGGATTCTTGGGATTGCTGATTTCAGGTTCTTAGGATAGATACCCAGTAGTGGGATAGCTGGGTCATAGGGTATTTCTATTTTTAACTTTTTGAGAAATCTCCATACTGTTTTCCATAGTGGCTGCACTAGTTTGCATTCCCACCAACAGTGTATGGGGGTTGCTTTTTCTCCACAACCTCTCCAACATTTGTCACTTTTGGTTTTGGATATTTTTGCCAATCTAACGGGTGTAAGGTGGTATCTTAGTGTAGTTTTGATTTGCATTTCCCTGATGATTAGCGATGATGAACATCTTTTCATGTGTCTCTTGGCCTTACTTATATCTTCTTTGGAGAAATGCCTGTTCATGTCCTCTGCCCATTTTTTGATCGGGTTGTTTGTTTTTTTGTTGTTAAGCTGTGTGAGTTCTTTGTATATTATGGATATTAATCCTTTGTCGGATAAGTAGCTTGTAAATATTTTTTCCCAATTAGTGGGCTGTTTTTTTGTTTCAATCCTGTTTTCCCTTGCTTTGAAGAAACTCTTTAGTCTGATGAAGTCCCATTTGTTTATTCTTTCTATTGTTTCCCTCATCTGAGGAGTTATAGTGTCTGAAAGATTCTTTTGAAACTGATGTCAAAGAGTGTACTGCCTATATTCTCTTCTAGAAGACTTCTTGTTTCAGGCCTAATCTTTAAGTCTTTGATCCATTTTGAGTTTATTTTTGTGAATGGTGAAAAAGAATGATCAATTTTCATTCTTTTACATGTGGCTGTCCAGTTTTCCCAGCACCATTTGTTGAAGAGACTTTCTTTTCTCCATTGTAGGCCCTCAGCTCCTTTGTCGAAGATTAGCTGTCCGTAGATGTGTGGTTTTATCTCTGGGCTTTCAATTCTGTTCCATTGATCTGTGCACCTGTTTTTGTACCAGTACCATGCTGTTTTGATCACTGTAGCTTTGTAATGTTTTGAAATAGGGGATTGTGATGCCTCCGGCTTTGTTTTTCTTACTCAGGATTGTTTTAGCAATTCGCGGTCTTTTGCTGCCCCATATGAATTTTAGGATTGTTTGTTCAATTTCTGTAAAGAATGTCCTTGGGACATTGATTGGGATAGCGTTGAATCTGTAGATTGCTTTAGGTAGTATGGACATTTTAACTATGTTTATTCTTCCAATCCATGTGCATGGAATGTCTTTCCATCTCTTTATGTTGTCGTCAATTTCCTTCAAGAAAGTCTTGTAGTTTTCGTTGTATAAATCTTTCACTTCCTTGGTTAAATTTATCCCAAGGTATTTTATTCTTTTTGTTGCGATTGTGAATGGGATTGAGTTCTTGAGTTCTTTTTCTGTTGATTCATTGTTTGTGTATAGAAATGCTACTGATTTATGTATGTTGATTTTATACCCTGCAACTTTGCTGTAGCTGTTGATTATTTCTAATAGTTTTCCTATGGATTCTTTGGGGTTTTCTATATATAAGATCATGCCGCCTGCAAACAGCGAGAGTTTTACTTCTTCATTGCCTATTTGGATTCCTTTTATTTCTTTTTCCTGCCTAATTGCTCTGGCTAACACCTCCAGTACTATGTTGAATAGGATTGGTGAAAGTGGGCACCCTTGTCTTGTTCCTGTCCTAAGAGGGATGGCTTTCAGTTTTTGTCCGTTGAGTATGATGTTGGCTGTGGATTTGTCATATATGGCCTTTATTATGTTGAGGTACTTTCCTTCTATACCCATTTTATTGAGGGTTTTTATCACAAATGGGTGTTGGGTCTTGTCGAATGCCTTCTCTGCATCTATTGAGATGATCATGTGGTTTTTGTTTCTCATTTTGTTAATGTAGTTTATCATGTTGATTGACTTGCAGATGTTGAACCATCCCTGTGTCCCTGGTATAAATCCCACTTGATCATGGTGTATAATTTTTTTGATGTATTGCTGTATTCGGTTTGTCAGAATTTTGTTGAGGATTTTTGCATCTATGTTCATCAGTGATATCGGCCTGTAGTTCTCCTTCTTTGTGTTGTCCTTGTCAGGTTTGGGGATCAGAGTGATGTTGGCTTCATAGAATGTGTTGGGGAGTACTCCATCTTCCTCAATTTTCTGGAACAGTTTGAGAAGGATAGGTATTAAATCTTCTTTGAATGTTTGGTAGAATTCTCCAGAGAAGCCATCTGGTCCTGGACTCTTATTTTTGGGGAGGTTTTTGATTACTATTTCTATTTCTTTACTTGTGATTGGCCTATTCAGATTCTCCATTTCTTCCTGGTTCAGTTTGGGGAGGTTGTAAGAGTCCAGGAATTTGTCCATTTCTTCTAGGTTGTTCAATTTGTTGGCATATAGTTTTTCATAGTATTCTCTTATGATCCCTTGTATTTCTTTGGTAGCTGTTGTGATTTCTCCTCTCTCATTCCTAATTTTATTTATTTGAGATTTCTCTCTTCTTTTCTTGGTGAGTCTGGCCAAGGGTTTGTCGATTTTGTTAATTTTTTCGAAGAACCAACTCTTTGTTTCATTGATCCTTTCTACTGTCTTTTTAGTGTCAGTATCGTTGATTTCTGCTCTTATTTTTATTATCTCCCTCCTTCTACTGACTCTGGGCTTTGTTTGTTCTTCTTTTTCTAATTCTGTTAGGTGTCGTTTGAGGTTGCTTATGTGAGCTTTTTCTTGTTTTGTGAGGTGAGCCTCTATTGCGATGAATTTCCCTCTTAGGACTGCTTTTGCTGCATCCCAAATGATTTGGTATGACGTGTTCTCATTTTCATTTGTCTCCAGATAATATTTGATTTCTTCTTTAATTTCTTCAATAATCCATTGTTTGTTCAGTAGCATGTTGTTTAGTCTCCACATTTTTGCACCTTTCTCTGCTTTATTCTTGTAGTTGATTTCTAGTTTCATAGCACTGTGATCAGAAAAGATGCTTGATATTATTTCAACTCTCTTGTATTTATTCATGCTTGCTTTGTTTCCCAAAATATGGTCTATTCTTGAGAATGTTCCATGAGCACTTGAGAAGAATGTGTAGCCTGCTGTTTTTGGATGAAGTGTTCTCTATATATCTATTAAGTCCATCTGGTCTAATTTTTCATTTAATTCTATAATTTCTTTGTTGATTTTCTGCCTGGATGTTCTATCCATTGGTGTTAAGGGGGTGTTGAGGTCCCCTACTATTATAGTATTGTTGTTGATGTCTTCTTTTAGTTCTGTTAAGAGTTGCTTTACAAATTTTGGTGCTCCTGTGTTGGGTGCGTATATATTTACAAGTGTTATGTCTTCTTGGTGGAGAGTCCCTTTTATCATTATATACTGTCCCTCTTTGTCTTTCTTTACCTGTTTTACTTTGAAGTCTACTTTGTCTGATATTAGTATAGCGACACCGGCTTTCTTTTGCTCATCATTAGCTTGGAGTATTGTCTTCCATCCCTTCACTCTGAGTCCGTGTTTGTCTTTGGGGCTGAGGTGTGTTTCCTGGAGGCAGCACATTGTTGGCTCTTGTTCTTTGATCCATCCTGCCACTCTGTGTCTTTTGATTGGAGAGTTCAATCCATTTACATTTAGAGTGATTATTGAAATGTGAGGGCCTACCACTGCCATTTTATGTCTTGTTTTTCGGTTCTCTTCAATTTCCTTTGTTTCTCGTCCCATGGTTTAGTCTGTTCTGATGGAGAGCTGCTACTCTCTGTTGTTGTCCTTCCACTTATCTCCTTTGCTCTTGGTTTTGTAGTCCCTTTCCTTTTTTTGATTTTTCAGGAATGAGGGTTTTCCTGAGTATTTCTTGAAGAGGAGTTTTGGTGGCAATGAACTCCCTTAATTTTTCTTTATCTGGGAAAGTTTTTATTTCTCCATCATATTTGAAGGATATTTTCGCTGGGTAGAGAATTCTCGGCTGCAGGTTTTTGTCCTTCAGATTTTTGAATATATCATTCCACTCTCTTCTAGCCTGTAAAGTTTCTGCTGAGAAATCTGCTGAAAGCCTGATGGGGGTTCCTTTGTAGGTTAATTTCTTCTGCCTGGCTGCCCTTAGTATTCTCTCCTTGTCGTTGACTTTTGCTAGCTTCACTACTATATGTCTTGGGGTTGGTCCACTTGCATTGATAAAGTTTGGAGATCTATTGGCTTCTGTCACATGAAGTTCCATCTCTCTCCCCAGGTTTGGGAAGTTCTCAGCCATTATTTCTTTGAATAGGCTTTCTGCCCCCTTCTCCCTCTCTTCTCCCTCTGGTATACCTATAATCCTTAGGTTGCATCTCCTAATTGTGTCAGATAATTCTTGGAGAGTTTCTTCATTTCTTTTTAGACTTAGCTCTCTCTCCTCCTCTGTCTGCAGCATTTCTATATTCCTATCTTCCAAATTGCTAATTCTTTCCTCCGTATTATCGGCCCTACTGTTCAGTGCGTCTAGATTTTTCTTAATCTCCTCTATTGTGTTCTTCATTTCCAGTATTTCTGTTTGGTTCTTCTTTATAGTATCGAACTCTTTTGTGACATAGCTCCTGAACTCGTTGAGTTGTCTATCTGAATTCTCTTTTAACTCATTGAGTTTTTTAATGATGGCTGTTTTGTAGTCATCATCATTTAGGTTGTATATTTCATTGTCTTTGGGATTGTTTTCTGTGTGTTTGTCATTTTCCTTCTGTTCTGGAGATTTAATATATTTTTTCATATTGCTTGATGGTGTAGATTTGTGCCTCCGCATAGAGATATAGTTTAGTTACGTCTTCCACTTGTTTCTACTGGTGTGGTGGGGGGATAGCTGTTTATACTGCTCCAACCAGGAACCCTATCAGCTGTTGCTAACTGGGCCTGGGCCCCTCCACGCAGTCACAGTGATCCTGTGGGTTCTCTCTTCAGCTATGGAGGCTGTCACAGGGGGGCTTCAGACTGCTGGTGCCTACTGTTGCAGACCACCTAGACGTGCTCCCTCCTTAGGTTCTGCAGTGGTTTTATGGGCTTTCCCAGCGGCCGGGGGCAGGATCACTTATATTTGCAGCTCTGTCACTGTCGGCGCCCACAAAATCTCACTTGTCACTATGGGTCACAGCAGAGATATGGGCATTTTCTACCGTCTGTGGTTAGCTCCCCTAGCTATGCTACTTTTGTCCCAGGGTCTTCCAGCCTTGTGGTTGCCAGATGGGTGCTCTCTACTAGTGCTGTGCAGAGGCTATCGCTGAGGCTTCTGTGAGACTATAGAGTTTCCCCCCTGGGCCACAGAGCCAGGTTGCTGGAACTCCACCCAGCCCCAGTCCTCTCCCCTAGGATCTCGGGGAGCCCATTACCCTGACTGGGGGATAGCCAGATACCTTGAGTTCAGTGGCAGCTGATCAGCTGCTGCCCTGCCTGGGATTCTCCTCTTTGGGACCCTCCCGGCATTGTGGATGCTGGGCGGGGCCTCTCTGCTAATGGCAGGCAAAGACCCTGCCTACTGCCCAGACGGGACTTCAGAGTTTCTCCCCCAGGCTGCGTAGCTGGCCGCTGGAGCTCCACCAAGCCCCGGTCCTCTCCCGGGAGATCTCCAGTAGTCCTGAGCCTCTCCCAGGCGAAAGCCCGGTCAGTGGAGCCGGTCGCGGCAGCTGGCGGGCTGGCCCGCCGTTTGGGAGAGCCTCCAGGTGTTGTGGAGGCTGGGCGGGGCCTCTCCAATAATGGCAGGCAAAGACCCTGTCTGCTGCCGGGGATGGGACTTCAGAGTTTCTCCCCCAGGTCGCGTTGCCAGCTGCTGAAGCTCCACCCAGCCCCGGGACCTCTCCCAGATCTTCAGTAGTCCTGATCCCCTCCCGGGCGAGAGCCCGGTCAGGGGAGCCAGCGGCGGCAGCTGGTGGGCCGGCGCGCCGCTTGAGATTCTCTCCGGGGGCCCCCAGGTGTTGTGGGTGCTGGGCGGGGCCTCTCCGATAATGGCAGGGAAAGACTCTGCCTGCGGCCAGGACTGAACTCTAGAGTTTCTCCCCCGGGCCGTGTAGCCAATCGCTGGAGCTCCACTCAGCCCCAGACCTCTCCCAGGAGATCTCCGGTAGTCTCGATCCCCTCCTGGACGAAAACCAGGTCAGGGGAGCCGGCGGCGGCAGCTGGTGGGCCAGCGCGCCGCTTGGGATTCTCTCCGGGGGGCCCCCAGGCTTTGTGGATGCTGGACGGGACCTCTCTGCTAATGGCAGGTAGGGATTTTGCCCACGGCCTCTGGTGTGTAACTCTGGAGCTTCCCTCTGGGCTCAGGTGTAATTGCGGGGGGGCTTAGGTAGAGCTCTGTTCACCTGTTTCCACCGTCGCTCCTCTGGTGTGCGCTCCCTCCTGCCCTTGGCGTGTGGCGATGTTCTGGGGGCGTTCGCTGGAAGAAAGCCGCCCGCAGGCTCTAGGCTGTTCGGGGGTCGGGTCGGAGAGTTTTCACCTATCTCCACCTCCTCCCGGAGGGAAGTCTGTCCGCCTTCCGATGTATAGCAGTGTGGGTCTCTCCGACGTCCTAAGATGCTATATAGATATCCTTTGTCAAGCGATGAATGTCCAATTAGTTGTAGATTCGAAGGGGGAGAGACAAAGAAGTCTGCTCACGCTGCCATCTTGGATCTTCTCCGTAATTCACTTTTAAAGAATATCATATTTAGCTTTCTTCAGTAGTATTTATTGCAATGCCACAGTGATAAAAGTAGGTATCTTACTGTATGTGAGTTCTAAAATAGGATTTTGAACTCTTGAGAAAGGCAGATCCAGTGACAAAAATAGTGTGAACTTTGGAGCCAATCAAAGCTAAAGTCAAATCATGACTTAGCCACTTAGTAGCTTTATGACCTTCGGCAAATTATTTCATCTCTCTGGGCCTGAATTTCCTGCACTGTCAATTTACTGCGTTGGCAATATAACCAACGGGAGAATTGCTGTGAGTTTTAGGGACAAACTCAATGTTTGGCACATAGGATGTACTCAATAAATTATAGCTATGGTTTTTACTATTAACATAAATCAACTAAATCTTATAAGAAAACCAGATGGGCAGTGGCTCTGAGTTTTGAATACTCAAACAAATTAATTGCGTACAACAGCTTGGCAGCGCATGAGAAGAATTGTAGCAGATCGACAGTGTAGTATTTCTCAGGAAGTAGCCTTAAATACAGTCTAGGAAAACAGGACCTGATTCTATCTGTAAAATCACCATCTGGTGGCACTCAGATACTGTTACAGCCAGGTGCCCGTATGCCCCAGAGCACACCTCTAGCACACCGCGGGGGAGATTGGTGAAGGAGGTAGCATTGACAAAGCCTTTATTTGAAGATATTAAGAGGCTTAAAAATATATGTTTTGAAAATAAGGGTATGCTTTTAATATTGTGATAGTTATTGCTCAATCTTCATCCAAAATGTTATACCAATCACCAAATTATATTCCCACCAAATAGTTCTTACAAGTGCCTGCTTTCGTATAGTTTCAAAAACACTTACATTTTGACAATCTGATAAAAGGAAATAGTACCTTGCCATTTGATGGTATGTTTTAAATGTTATGAGTGAAGCTGAGCATTTTTTCATATTATATTTGTTTATTTGTATTTCCTTTTCACCAAGGTGCCTGATTATGTCATTTTTCCAGTTTTTCTACCAATGGCGTTATCCTTAAAGTATGAGAAAAATCAACTAACAAGTTCAAGAAGGGGAAGATGAGAACTTTTAACATTTCCCTGCATTGTTCTACCGTCACACTTAACTGCTTTAGCAATAAAGCACACATTAGTCCTAAGTCAGACTATCCTAGGATGCTTTGAAAAGCTAAAAATCGCCACTTTGGCCCAACACTCCTTTATGTCCATTCATAGAGAAAACATGGTTTTTTGGTTCCAAATGTGAAGAGTATAATGACACAGAGCATTATGGGATGGTTTGGGGCTTGTACAGAACAGAATTCTTCTCAGCAGGAACATAATTAAACAACTTTAGGACAGTAGAAATAGTGTTTGCGAAAAAACCAAAATGCTACTGGAGAGAACATTCTCCTCCATTTTTTAGTTTATGTTTCGGAAAGCTTTGACCTGGCCTAATAGAGGCACAAAACTCTTAGGAACTGGCTTATTTCTTATCCAGGAGAGGGCTTGACAATCTTCTCTTTTGTGTCGAGACTGCAAATCTGCGGTTGCTTAACTAAGTCTCTGAGCCAAGGTTTCTGCAGAAAATACTGTCATTTATAAAGTACCTGCTTCTCTCATGATCAACGTGTTGATAATTTTAGGTCCCGGTATTACCAGCTACTCAAATGAGGATATCTGTACCTTGGCATTTGGAAATGCTGTACGAAGTTCAAGTTCTCTTCCTATGCCTCACAATCTGGGTGTAGTCCAAGTTGTAAATGATCATTTCAGCCATGTTGCACTTTTCGCAACATCAAGTGGTTACTTCCACATATAGTTTAAAACTATTCTAATGAAAATAAGAAACAGATTAAGGGTCACAAATATAAAGAGGAAGTTCAGCTTTTAGATTTATGGTTGGTCTCGAATTTAAAGCATTTCTGACAGAAAGAGGCAGTATAGCACAGTATGGAAAGCAGAGTTTTGTAATCTGAAAGATTGAGGCTCACGTGATAGCTCTGCCACTGAATGTGTGACCTTGAGTGGCCTCGATTTCCACGTCTGAATAATGGTCACAGTGATGCCTACCTTAGGGTGCTATGGTGAGGATTAAATGAAATGTGTATGTACACATCTGGCATATAGTAAATATTCAATCAATGGTCATTACTATTATTAGTATTTTTTAGGGATAATTTTACTTTCCTATTTAGTACATTTTATCCATATGCTTATTACAATCAAATAGCCTTTTGACAGCGTATTTTACTTAATGTGTTTATTTATTTTCTCTAGATATGGTTATATAGGTATTGTATTCTGTCTCCCTCCTTCCTTCCTTCCAGAATTGCACATAAACTTCTATAGTCTATGATGTAATTGTCAAAAGAGCTGATGTTGAGGTTAACCTGTAGAGGTTACATTCTCGACTATGTTTATTCTCACTGTACCAGGAGCCAGAGTCGTGTCCTGTATCTGAACTTGCAAGTCAGTAATTGGATCATAATTACTGCTTGGCCTTAGGTTTAGGGATTTCCTTGGAGACCATGGAGAAATTCATTTGGTGCTAGGAATGCATAATCTTCTGCTTTGGAGCACTTCTCAGGGTTATGCAGCCGACGCAGCTCATTTTACCGTGTCCCACGTTATGTAACACTGCAGTCCCTTTGGGTTGTGAGAGGCGCAAAGGAGCATGTCATTTTCAGATAGAACACTAGATGGAGCAAAGAGACCAATTTTTTTTTTTTCTAAATACCACCAAATAAAATTTCATTTTAAAATTAGGTGACTAAAAGGCTACTCAGAGATTAATTCCACAGTCGAGTTTGCTCTTTGTTCCTCCCTATCCTCTTCTTTGTCCTCTGCTTTTCCTTGTTTGGACCTGCAGCATGCCTTGAAATTTGGGCTCTCTTGCAGTAGAAAAAGGAGGGGGTTTGCCCAATGGTCATTCCAGTGTAGGTAAAAGATGCACAGGGTCGATTTTCCTGTCTATGGAAACACAGGGAAATGATGTCACTGTTTGCATTATTGGCCTGCTTGTCTTCTCCATTGGGAGAGGCTGGCATGTTGTGCTTGTGGCCAGCTTTGCTGTCCTTCCCCACCCTCTCATTGGGTCAACTCAACAGTCTGCCCCTCGATCTGTATTACAAGCATTGCTTCCACCATCTTTTCTGAACTTTCCCTGTATCATCTCTCCTTTTTTCTACAACTCCATCTCTCTTATCTACATCCCTGCCTGGAAGAGCATAACTGTTGATCAATTCCCTCCTGTACGCAATAGATTAATTGAATCAGATTATACTACAGTTATTTTCCCAATCTAAAGAGTTTATCATTCTTGGTCAAGACCAGTTTACCCCATTGTTCTTCCCTTCAGTTCCCTGGATGTCATCCACAAGCTCATTCTAAATAAGCACTTGTTCCATCAAGGAATGAATTGCTGTGTGAATGAATGACTAGCTCCCTTGACCTCATCCATCTATGTCGAACACTTCCTTTCCTGTTCTCTTCCCCACTCCCCGCCTCCCACCTCCCGTTTGATTTACTTGTCCTTATCGTTTAATTGTCCTTTGCCAGTAATTGAATTTAGGGCCCCTTGTTGGAATTCCTCCCTTTCAAGTTAATTCATTCCTGTAATTCTTTCTGCCGCTCTCCAACTGCTTCCCTGCTGTGTCATTTTAATTGCTAGTGTTTCATATTTTGTTTTCCACATTTATTGCTGGCTTATGTGCTCACCAAAATAGATTGACTGCGATATTTATTGAAATGACAGATTTGGATTCACCTCAGCTTACAAATGAAATTTGAAGCTGAGTAGGAAAGTTATAAAGATAAAACTAAATTGGTCACATGAATAGTTAGGGAGGACCTGGTAAACATAAGAAACAAATTAGCTTTAATTCTTTGGAGGATAGTCCCTGGGTCAATGGTCTTAGATGCAAATAAAAATATTTACAGAGTTTAGACCGCTACTCAACTCCACGTAGGCAATTCCCGGTCTTTACCAAAAGTAACTGATTATCTGCAAGGCAGAGAACACATTCTTTTTTTACCCGTTTCCCATTATTTACATTAAATGTCAGGAGCAAAGTTTCTCCTAACACGTGACAGTCCACTAAAATAGCTATTGCATATGTACAAAAGCATATTTACTCTTCATATTTGAAACTAAGAATGACTGAGATCTTGATAGGGAATTGTATATTTAAGATGTATTTATCAAAAAGTTGATATATGTAAAAATAGTAGTTTTCTTAACACCATAAAATGTTCCATAATTCATATTAATTTTGATTGTAATAACACAAATGGGTAGATGTTTAGCTGTTAATTAGGAAAAATAGCTGGAAATAGGTTTTTCAAAGTATCATCATAAATCTTTAGAAGTATTTCCCTACTTCTGGGGATGGGGGGTAAGAGGAGGACATAGCACAATGTAGCAGCGAGGGGGCCGGGAATCCATACCTGCATCAAGAATGAGCCGTGCACCGAATAAATAACAACTCTTGCATGTATTTAGCAATCTTTATGTAGATACATACTGTTTTAATGAATGAAATAAAATTTATTTAAAAGGGATGAGTTTTTGGTTTCTGTGACAAACAAATGGTGAGCAACAGGATATACTGGAGTATATGAGGAAGCCATTTGATGTAAACCTAATTCAACCTGACCTTGTTTTTCCCAAAGGGCCTGACATGGCCAGTGAGCATGCATTGTATAGTTGTATATCTGCTTTAAGCATCTGCTGTGTCCCAAAGACAAGAACAAATGCCCTTAAGATAAAGATGCAACTTCCCCCATGTTGGCATTTCCTTAAGGATAGGCATCTCTCCCTAGGCTAGGAACTGATTGCTCTGCTCGCCTCTGACCACCCAGCTTGAGAAAACAGCCCTGCTACCCTGCTGTGTCCACCAAGACAGCAGACCTACTACCTGCTGTGTCCGTCAACCACTGTGCTGACAGAGCAGTCTTGTGACTATTGTAAAAGGGACATTTCAATCCTATGTGAAACATCCTCTTTGAGAGTATATAACCACTCTGCACATCCCACTTCTTTGGTGCCCTTCCTTCTTTGGGGAAGGAAGGCCCTGGTCTAAGCTAGTCCTCAGATCTGGTTCATATGAAATTCATGCCAATTTTCATTTATAGGTTGCTTATGGATTATTTTCATCGACGTCTGGTTGGTTTTTGCCTATTCAAGCAGAGCTGAGTTCCTCTGCTTTCTTCACCACGTATTTAGCTCCTTTAGAGAGTACTAGAGCCTTTGCTTTAGGTGGTTGACTTGACTTCCCTCACAGTGTGTTAATTGCCGTTTTCAATTCCCTGTTCTTGTTTTCTTGAGCATCTTCTAGCAGTCCACAAGTCACAGAAAAGAAGTCAGTTGCGAATGGAATGCTGATTCTTCTCCTGGTTCATACAAGCCTGGAGATTCTCAAAAAAAAAAGAAACTGAAGTGGACCAGCTGCTCTGCCAAAGCAAAGTCATTTCAGATGTTAAAAATGATTATAGAAGACAATTTAGGGGATACAGACAAACATTATTTAACACTTCATGAAGCAGGCAGTCTGTTCCCAAAGGTCCAGAGAACCGCAAAACAGGATGGAAGGCAGGAAGCTTTCATAGGATAAAGAATAAGGAAGAAAGAAGAGAAAAATAGAAAATACCTGGTTGGCTGGGGCCACATAGTCAAACTTGATTGGGGTGAGAAGGAGCAAGGACGTAAGTAAAGAGCACAGAGCTGGCTTGGCGTTTGGGGATTGGCTGGCTGGATGTATTGCATTTCTGGTCAAGGGAAGCACCTATGGGGACACAAAATTTATCTAAGTTTTGGGTTGCTGATGTGGTACCCCAAACAGGAACAGCTCCATTTTGGGCCTAGAAATTTATTTCAACACAGAAGGCTGAAAATAACTCAAGATGCTGAACTGACCTGGGCTCGAGTGGCATTGAGATTGATGAAAACCTCTGCCTCTCTGTGGGGCATTACAGGTTAGGGAGAGATTGATGTGCCCAATATTCTTTCCTTCTTCTTCTTGTTTCTAAGTTTCCTGCCTCAGGGCCTTGTAGCAATAGCAAGAAAAAAGGATTCTGTCAGCGATAGGACTTCACGTGTCATTTCATGGTCTCATTTTGCCTCCCGCAGGACTAGTCCATCGACAAAATAGACACGAAGTTGCTGGCTAAGTTTAACAGTGTGACTGGGTAGGAGAATTATTCACATTGCACTCAGATGGGTAAAGAAAATGTAGCTTCTCAGTTTCTCTATGACTGATCATACCTCGCCCCTGAGGGTCAGTCCTCTGGGGTTGCTGATTGTGAACAAAGATTTACTTCAAGCTATTAATTTAAAATCCCTCCCTTCAGCAGACGCTCAGTTTTCTAGATTGCCTCACTTTCTTCTTCTTCCCACTGTGTCCCAACACAAAGGGAATGGGCACAGCCGCTCGCTCCCCTCCCTCAAAACTCCTCACGTCCACTACGTCCTCCTGCTCTAGAGCCCTGTGGACCTCCTGCCATGCCCTCCCAATGCAAGGTAACTTCTCTACCACCAGGGCACAAACTCTGTGATGTCAGACATCCAGGTTGGGTTCTTTATATGCTTAAGAGGTTCATAAAATTCTCTCTTTCTCTCTCCCCATCTCTCAATCTGTCTCTTTGTCTCTCAGTCCCTCTCTCTCTCTCTCTCTCTCTATCTTATTCCTGCTCACTATTGTTTTCTCTTTCTCCTTCTCTTCTCTCCAAAGTCTAACCCTCGGTCTTATTGTCTTGCTACTGACAGCAACAAAACTCAAATTCAATTATTAAAGCATCTCGCTGCAAGCAGGAATCCCCTTTTTCTCTTGAAGCACCAAAACCCACCATTTCAATGGTGGGGGTGCCCAGGCATTAAGATTTACTGGAAATGGAAATATGTCTGAAAGGAAATACATCAGAAAATACATATTGAAAAGTGCTGTGCTCACGATGAATCATCCGTCATATGAAGGGAGATAAATGTAAGGAACATTCTTTTCACTATCCTTCCCTCTGTCATGAATATTGTCATATTTCTCAGGGGGAAAAAATGAGTCTAAGGGTTGTTAAATTGGCCAAATTACACAGCTTTAGGAGGGAAGATGATAAGAAAGAATTCCCATTGAAAAAAGAAAATGAATGCAGAAGGCTGATAGTTAACCAAGAAGTTTGGAACAATTTTATGTATTTGCTGCTCGTTTGTTTGCTTGTTGATTGCCGGCTTGCCTTGGAAATAATGGAAGTCTGACAAATTCATCACTTGAAAGGCGATGGTCTCCACACCAAGCCCAGGTTTCTCTGAGGCACCAGCACACCAGAAGAGTGAAGTACCCTCCTCTTTGTTCTCCAATAGCAGCCTGAGGTGCGTGAGGACCATTGTCCCCTGCCCTAACCCCTCCAGGGTGGGGCTGGGAGGCTGCGTCATTGTGACTGACCTTGATTTCATTCCCTTCCTAGTGAAGGAAAGGAGAAGGCACATGGGGGCTCCTGAGCTAAGTGGTGGGTGACACCAACAGAACGAGGAAGCCGAATGCACAGACAGGGCACTAAATTCTTCTTACACTAAAACCGAGAAAAGTCGTCGTCAACACACCCCCCCCCACCGAAACTCACATACCCTCAGTGCTGGTTAATCTCCCTTTCTGGTTATTATTCAACGGCTGCAAATCCCGTCTCAGACCTTCACCCTCCTTTAAGCTGTAGAAAGAGAATGAAAAAAATGCACCCTAAGACCTTAGGGTTTTTTCCCTTCCTTTTCTGTTGCCAGTGAATCAGTTTGAAAAGCGAGCTGGCGCAGGTTCCAGGAATTTGTGTAAATGCCTAATGGAGACAGATATGCTGCACGGTTGCTGCAGGCTGTCCAGGCATTGCCAAACATGGTGCTCACAAACCGCCTGCACTTTTAGGGGAGTGAGCTGCCTGGCACACGTTTTCCTACCTGCAGAGAGCCTTGAAACGTTAAAATACTTCCTGTCTCCTTTATTTTGGGGTGGGTAGAGGGTCACATACATTTTAATAGTTTCCTCATCAAAATTGCTGCATTTTAAAGCCAGGTAATGAGAACACACATCATCTCAACCTCTTTACTGTTCTTTCTTCCTAGGGAGCTCAGAAAGCGGAATGGAAATGTTGGGCCTGTCCCTACAAGCCCTTTTCCATGGAAAGGGCAATCATTTTTGGTTTTGTTTCTATTCAATTCTGAAAGAGTCTGCTGATTTATTCAGCAGTATTTATTGAGTACCATCTGTATGCAAGACACTGTAGTTTATAGTGAGGATACAGCAAAGAAAAATGAAGAGAGGGTCCCTGCGTGAGTGGATCTTATAAATGAGTAGAGTAGAGGGAGATATTCAGCAAATAGAAATAAACAATCATATGTATTTTATTTTTTTCTAAGTGCTCTGGCATTATGAAAGACATTAACAGGGTGATAGTGTTACTGACCCAGGTTCGTTTTGTCTGCTGCACAATTGTGTCAATCATTGAGATGATGAGTTTGCAGTAGAGAAAGTGTTTATTCACAAGGCAGTCAAGCAAGGAGACGGGAGAACAAATCTCAAATCTGTCTCTCTGAAAGTGGGGATTAGGGATATTTATGGGATAAAGGGGCAGGGCAGTCTGAAGTGTGGGAATAGACTATTGGAAGTAAGGAAAAGCGAGGTAGTTGCTGATCTGTACAAGCGTAGTCATTTCATGGCTCTTCATAGGACGCATGTTCCCAAAATGCCGGTGTTAGCATGATCTGAGGGTGGGGTTTTCAACTCCTTGACATCAAAGAGTCACCTGCCAGTCATCTGTGCAGGCCCAGTCAATGAATCCTGGTCTTAACCAGCCTGAACTGGACAAGGCGTGAATTCTTAGTTCCTGAAAAACTCAAGCATCTGTTACCATGGTGACCCAAGAGGCAGAGATGTTATCCATAGGGTGGGTGTTAGCAATATCTTATCTAACTACTTTTGCAAACAGACTACTAACTGAGTATAGTGAAAGCAAGTTGGCCCCCAGTCTCAATAGAAATGTATCTAGTTGGGTGGTTGGGGCAGTAGATATTATGGACTGGCTTTTTCAGCTCTTCCTCCAATCTACTTATAGAATCCCTTCCTGAATTGTAGCTAGGATGCCTGCTTGAACTGCTGAAGCAGAAAACAAAAAAAATAAAAACTTAAAATGATATGTCCCAGACTCCCATGTAGCTAGCGTCTGAACGTGGCCCCACAGGAGCCTGAGGGAGGAAATGAGCAGGGCTAGGCAGTGGGCACTTGTGAGGAGACGAGTTTTGGGGGCCAGTCTGGCAGCAGAGGCTGTAAGTCGTCCAGACAGCTCAGCCGGAAGCTCTTTGCCTGATCTCTGGGGTTGTAGGTGTGGAGAGGCAGGTGGTGGTGGTGAGATTTCCACAGAGACTCATCTATGGAGTGTTGTTTCTCCCAGCTGCTACTTCTGGCTGCAAAGCTCCCAAAAGCCTTGGCACGAGAGATGTTCCTGCCTCTTTCCTTCATTTTGCATCCAGTGTAGCATCCTGCACCTGCGCATTTTCATCCCCTCCCCCCAGGGCAGCAGATTTGCTTCTACTCCTCCCTCAGAAGCAATGAACCTTTGTCAGCAGCTGTTTTCTGCCCTGCCCCAAATCCTTCTCCTATGCACACAGTAGAAAACGGTGGGAAAGAGACAGTGAGTGAGTGCATACACCTTCTCCCTGTGTCTGAGGCTCACAGGCATTCTAAATTATCTCACTAGCCTGCCCTTGGTCTTCAAGACATTGTGAAAATTGTAGCTGTTTCCTCCCAACCTGCTTTTATGGCAGCTCTATCCTCCTCCCATGTTCCGCCAAAGGTGAAAGAGACTGTCTCACCCATTTCTCTCCAGTGGACTTGTCACTCTTCAGAATTGAGTTCTCTTGGCTGCCTTACAACCTCAGCTTTCTGATGTGCTCAAGAAAACTTATAATTTTGTGGGCTATCTGTATTTTTCTTATTGCTGAACCGGGAATGACATGATCTTGAAGCAATCCACATCCCAAGTGGAAGCAGAATTCTCTTGAGAGATTCGACATTGGGGGTCCAGAGTTTGGTTCTCTCTCTGGCAAGCAATCAGAGCACGCACAATGCTAAAATCTTCAGATATGAAACTAAGCATTTATTAAGTGTCTACTATTTGCATATCCCTATAGAAAGACCTGAGGATACAAAGAGGAATGAGGCACAATCTTTGTCCTATGGTTGCTCCTGATCCAGAGGGAGCGAATGCACATAAGCAAATGTTATAAAGCGGTGTGACAAATGCCACAATAGGAGTGGAACGAAGCACTGTGGGAACGTGGGCCTGAATAACTAGGATGCAGGGGCACTGAGGAGGTGTAATTATTTAGGTTATTTCTGGAATTTTCAGCAAGAGGTTTCTAGACAGAAAAGATGAAGAGAAACTGACAGAAAAGTTCCTTCAATTCCTCACGCACCAATAATTCCATTTCCTGGCATGGTTAGTAGGATCAGAATTCTCTTTCTGAGATATAGCAGGTCAACCCAATCTTAGCCATGGTCAGCTCTGTGCCTGAGTCCTCCAGGTGAATTCAGCATTTCTGCAAGGTCAGCAGGTTCCAGGTGGACAAGATTAATAACAGAGAATCTAATAGATTGCATTGGACTATAACTACTTTTTTTCCTAAAAAAAACAGAAGTTTGATCCCAACTTCTAAAGATGCTATCTTTCACACTCGGTCTCTTTATCTTTTTGTTAACCTCTAGATTTGCTGTACCCCACGTGGGTGGATATCTGTATATTTGCTTGTTTGGACCACTGGGATTAGATGTAAGCATCTCTCTGAAGAGAAGGGTGACGCCACGCAGTTGTCCAAGCTCTCCTATTTGGGCCCCTTCGCCCAGCCAGGACAGTGCAATGTGGCAGTGCCAAGACAGGAATAGTGGAGTCAAACAGAGTCTGATGCCCAAAGGAGCACAGGACGTCGGCCAATATTTAGTCCTTGATGTGAAAGCTGAGTCAGTGGCAGGCTGGGTTTAGACAGAGTTATTAGCATTAGATGGCAGCTTCCAGGGAGCACAGTGATCAATCTGTGGACAAATCCAAGATCAGAAGCTGATGACATAGACAAGGAGGGATTAGGGGACAGGAAGCTGGATTGCCCAGGTGGTCTCAGGAGGCTGGTAGGCGGGTGTGGCAGAGTCTATCTGAAGGTTTTCAGACTCAGCCCCATTGTCCCCTCTCCACTGGCATTTGAATGTCACTTCTGAAAGATATGCACAGCATACACACCAAAAACACACAGGCCATCACTTCAAAAGCAAAACAATATTGAGCAAGAAAAGTACAGCCAATGTGCACATGAGTCCATGTGCTCCTGATGCTGTAGGGTCTACTTTTAAGATACTAAACTCGATGCTAATACACTCTGAAAGGTAACTTTTGAAATACATATAAAAATTTATATTAAAATCACAAATCCTTATTATTCTGAGAAATAGAGAAAAATATTTCAGCAGTTGAAAAGTTTCCCTTTTCTTTAACAATTGACTAATGAAACAAGTTCATGAAGAGAGAGTTTTAGTCTATAGAAGAGGACAAAAAATTGATGTTGTAGAAAATTCCACAGTTTGGCACTGCGTGTGCAGGCAATTCAGTGTCCTCATTCCTTGGTGTTTAGGGTTCCGCCTGGGCGGTGGTGGGTGTGCTGAACTCTGCACTGTGAAAATTAGTTTCACATGCACATTAAACAGCTGGCCCATTCTGGGGTGTCTCAGCATCCTTTTGGCTGTATTTTGAGCTTTCAGATAAGTGGCAAGTTAAAATAATTGTCAACATTTGCCAGACATGATCTTAAATATCTTGAGGTTCATTATAAAAGAACCAAAAAACCCCTAAGTAATTGTTTTCCTTATTGGAAATGTTCCTTCACATTCTATCTTCACAGCACAGTCTGTGAGAATATATTTCCTCTCGTCTTGTTTCCGAATCTGAGATTTCGCTGAGAATATTTTTCTCGTGAGAGTAAAAAAAATCACCATTATATCATATAATTTGAACCCAAGTATCACCACCCAATCTTTAACCCTAATGTAGCAAAAAATTCAGCAATCCAAGCAGTTATTTATGATCATTTCCATCCTTGTATTTTACTGACCTGGAAGTGATTTAAAGCAAGGTCAACTGGTGGCAATATTTACTAGGAAAATCTACGCTCACTGACTTAGGGCTAACCCTCTTCACTGTCCATTTCCTTCCACACTGAACACACGTGTGCTTATCATAATGGTTGTACAAAGGCATTACATGGTGTGGATGCTCTAGAAATGCGGGTTATACAATCCTCAGAGAGAATCCCTGTGAGTGACTTATAAAGAGTAAGAACATATATCTCCCAAAGTTTAAAGCCGCCAATAGAGGATTTTCTTCATGGTGAGACTTCCTTTTTTAAAATTTTTTTCTTATTGAGGTAACATTGATTTATAACATTGTACAAATTTCAGGTGCACGTCATTATATTTCACCTCCTGTATAGACTGCATTGTGTTCCCCACCAAAGTCTAGTTGCCATCCATCACTGTACACATGTGCCCCTTTACCTCTTTCTCCCTCTACCCGTCCCCTCTTTCACACTGGTACCACCAGTCTATTCTCTGTATCTGTGTCTTTGTTCATTGTTGTTGTTGTTTTGTCTTCCACATATAAGTGAAATCATACGGTATTTCTCTTTCTTCATCTGACTTATTTCACTTAGCTTAATACCCTCAAGGTCCATCAATGTTGTCACAAATGGCAAGATTTCATCTTTTTTTATGACTGAGCAGTATTCCATTGTATATATATGGATACTATGTCTTCTTTATCCATTCATCCATCAATGGACACTTTGTTAGGTTGTTTCCAAGCCTTGGCTATTGTAAATAATGCTGAAATGAACAACAAGGTGCATATATCTTTTTAAATGAGTGTTTTCATGTTCTTTGCATAGATATCCAGAAGTGGAATGCTGGATCATATAGTAGTTCTATTTTTACTTTTATTTTTTTCTCTAAGTGTATGCTTTATTTCTTTTTTTACTTATTTTTTTTTTTATTGCGGTAACAGTGGTTTATAACATTATATAAATTTCAGGTGTACATGGTAATATATTTTGAATTCTGTGTGGATTACATCATGTTCACCATGCAAAGACTAACTAATCATCATTTCTTACAGCTGAGTAGTATTCCATTGTGTATATATACCACATCTTCATTATCCATTTGTCCCTTGATGGACACCTAGGTTGCTTCCAAGTCTTGGCTATTGTGAATAATGCTGCGGTGAACACAGGGGTGAATGTGTCTTTATGCATCTGTTTTCAATTTCTTGGGAGGAATACTGAGCAGTGGAATAGCTGGATCATATGGTAGATCTATTCTTGATTTCCTGAGGAGACTCCATACTGTTTTCCATAGTGGCTGCACCAGTTTGCACTCCCCATGGTGAGACTTTCATCAATAGGGCTAAAAGGGTGGTTATTGCATAGAACAAAAATTATTTTTTCACCACTTGTATGTGTATATGTATATATATATTTTTCATTATTATGTTGTATCTCTAGGTGACAATCCTAAAGCACAGAATTTAATTAAAGAAATATCTTAAATAACAGATAAACATGCACTTTCCTCAATAATAACACTTTTTCAAATCTTTATAATTTTAAACTGTTTCATATACTTTTACTTGATCCTCATCATAAGTCTATGAGATGGACAAGAAAACATTATTTCCTCATTTAATTGATGAAAAACTGCATCCCTATTTAATGGAGATAGAAACATGTTGAATTTGCCCTTGGAGAAGCTGAATTGTGAATAGATTGGGTACATGACTCATGTCCCACAGGCTGGATCAGACCATGCGGCCGTCATTACCCAGACAAGTCACACAAAACCAGGATTATTTGGGCCTGGATTTTATCCAGTAAATTGTATCAATAGTTTCCTTCACTTCGGTAGCAGTAGATTGCTCTGGAAATTACTGACAGTCTCAGACAGAAAAGTAAAAACAAGCGTCTTGACTCCCAGGTCTGACTTCTGGCCACTAGAGGGTGGTATTGTTCTCCGCACGTCTTGCGCAGCATCTGTTCTAAGAAAAAATGTCGGAACCATCCACCTATCTCACACCTTCGCAGGGTGTACCTAGGCCAGAAATGTCAGGATGTGGCTTTGAAGCTCCAGTTCTAGATAGTGTCTCATTTACCAGCCTTAAGCACTAAGAGGTTATTGGCCTCTATACCTAGTAGGGTGGAGAGCAGGAGACAGTCTATCTTTTCATTAACCTCTCTCTGCACTGGGGCTCCAACTAAGTCTTTACAACCTGGAGGCCTCTCCCTAAGTATTAAGCTATCAAAGAATAATAGTATCACAGGCTGGTGGATTTTCAGCCTGATTCATTTCCTAGAGAAGGGGTAACAGTGAATGGATTACTTTGATCATGCTATTAGGTATCCAAAAATTATAAAGGGGAGGAGAGGAGAAGAGGAAAAGTTCTCTGTTCCCATGGTAAACTACTAAATTAGAAAATATACTATATAAAAACTGCTACATAAAAATACAGATTGCACAACCTTAAGTATAATGTGCTTTCTCTGATGTTCGAAAGGCTTCCGTGAGTGTGTGTAGGTGGGAAGATGTTTCTGGTGGTTGCATGACACTTGAGTGTTTCCAGGAGGATATAAAAATAGCCTGTAAAAGTTTTTACTGTGAAAAATAATGATCTCTAACCTTGTGTGGTTTCATGGCCTACTAATATGACTTGCGCTCTTTACAACGCTGACAGAAGATAATAACCACTGATCTACGAAAATTCTGCAACAAGATGAAGCCACACATGGCCACACACCTTATCTCATAGGTGAAGTCTTCACTTCTGTTTTGGGTTTCCATGTTTCTCCTTCCTTGAACTGAGTATCTTTATCCCTCTGGCACTTACCTTCTGTTACTTTGTGTTTTAAGTCACTTTCCAGAGAGACTAGATTGATAATTCATTTCAATCCCACAAAGATTTACTACAAATTACTCACACAGTGCTGAACTATGTACTAAGATATATTACATATAATCCTGGTTTCTACAGAGCTAACCGTTCTGTGAATTCCTCCAACCTCCCTTTCACAACAATGATGCATTTTGCTGGTCCTTACCTCTTCCTGCAGACACACACTCTCCAGGCCACCCCTCCTTATAACGCCCACTGCTTTGATTAGCTATTGTTGGGAATCCTTGGGATGTCTCACCAACACCATCTTATGTTCTGCCTTGCACACCCACCCTTGTTCACGTCTCTTATCCTCAAAGCCCCACAAGGGTAAGACCTCTGTATATGGCTGCTGTCCATGTCACGGAAGGGGACAGTGCCAAGGGAGTGGTGTTGCACGGATTCCAAACTACTGACCCTCCCTGGGTCTTCAATAAATCAGCATTGTCCTCTCCCACAACCTCTCTCTCCATACACCTCCACAGATCCAGGTCGAGGGACCAACAGATCAAAGCTAAACTCTCCTCCTCATCTCTCTTTATACTCATGTATCTGTGACAACCCCTGGCTTGTTCTCCTTCAGCCACAAACCTCCGCCCTAGCAGTCATCTCAGGATCCCCAAATTCCACCATGGCCTCCTGCCAAGCCTTCCCTAAACAGGGATAGATGACAGAGGCCATCCTCCCACAGCAAGTTCACCTTGGCCTGTTCCTGAGACTCAGCAGAGGAAACTGTACACATAGTAGATGCTGAGGCAAGTTTGGTCAGAGTGGTGGTGATGAGTGTGGGAATTTGCCTTAATTTTAGGGGTTACCAAACCTGTCATCTAGTTAACATTCATTCTGGCGAGCACTAAGATAGATTTCATTTAGTGTTTTAACACAGAGCTCACTCACTTGTGTGAACCATACAACGGAATCCGTCTTTCATTGCCTATTTCCAATGATTTCATGTTAATAAACCTCCTTAATGAGACCATAAAGTTTTCAAGGTCAGGGAATTGATCTTATACTTCTCTTCCCTTTCTCTTGACCCTGTTATATATATACTCTCTCCATAATCTCCATTTCAAGCACCCCACATTCCAACCGCCACCTCCTGTATTTCCAGCTGACTCCCTCTGGTTTCCCATCTCCAGCCATCTTCTCTCAAACATGTCCTTCAAGTCTTTGCTAAAACGTCACCTCTGCAGAGACCTTTTCTTAATGCCTTATGTAAAATCGCAAGCGCCCTCTCACTGTTTATATTATTGGGACTCGGTAGCTTCGGTTTACTGCAGAAATAAGTCATGTACTATGATTACATTTCTTTTCTCGAAAAGCCTCTCTTCTCCTAGGAGTCACCATAAGCTTTCTATGTTTCATTTACCTCCATGGTCCTTATCACTTTCCAACATTTGGCATATCATCCTTCATATTTTCAGTTATGTATTTTTCTGCCTCCTCTCTCTGGAATGCAGTGCATGGGGGCAACGATACCTGTCTATCTGATTCATGGCTATGACAACAGAGCAGAGAAGAGCTCAGCACACAGTAGATACTCAATAAACGCTATGGAATGAATGAGTATCTATGAGAAAGAATATTCTAATGTGGAATTAACAGAGCTGATACCAATAAATGATGGGGCAAAATAGAAATATGTGTGCTCTCCCTGAGAGGGCAGAGGGGGAGATGGAGCCCAGACAGCGCGTCAGACGGTTCCCTGCATCAATCCTTGTGTGCCTCCATTAGCCCAAGGGAGCTAACCCGACTCTAAAGAGGAGGAGTGGTGATAGCCATTCATTTAGCAGTGGCGTGGGGATCCGGCATACAGGTGAGCTGAAGAGGTAACGAGAGGAAAAACACAGAAATAAACAAAAACCAGTCTGCTTCCAGCTGTTTGTTTATCTGAAACATCCATGAATTAGACATACTCGGTTAATACCCGTTGTCTCGCCTGTGATGAACCGAACTTCCAATAATAAGAATAGTTTGGAGGCCAACATTCAGATTGATTGATGCTTCTACTAAACACAGGTTTGCCAGAAAGTCAGTTTCAATTACTCCTTTGTTACAAACTAATTTTTAAATATTTAAATAGACTTCTTTCCTTAATAACATAATATGTAGACTATGATTAACGCACATTTGGGTGATATGGTAGTCTTCCATTAGCTTCAACCTGAAGATTAACTGGGGTCAGATAACCTGAGGTAGAAGAAATAACTCTGTCTGGAAGATCCACCTTCTTGTCTTCATTTGACTCTATCCAGCTGAAGGTGACCTTTACTAAGTCACTTTATTCTAGTCTTTTCTATTTTACCTCTAAATAAGAGTATGGGACTCAGTGAGCTGACACTCATCAGATTTTAACAGGCTGTTATTTATTTATTTATTTATTTATTTTTCTTTTCTTTCTTTTTTTTTTTTTTCTTGAGGAAGATTAGCCCTGAGCTAACTACTGCCAGTCCTCCTCATTTTTGCTGAGGAAGCCTGGCCC